GTTGGCACTAAAGTTGCAAAGAAAGCTTATGACTTAATCATTTTTTATGATAATTTTTCATATATTGTGAATGTAAGAACTGTTTCCTGATAGTAGACAACCCACACGAAGATGTGAAGTCAAATTGATTTAGTTTAGTTTCATCAACAAGATATTTTGATAATTGCCTAGAGCTAATTATCACCTATAATTATCACATTTCTTGCAATTGGAAATTTTTGTTTGTACCTGAACTATCGGAAGAACATATTTTTATGTAAACTTTAGAAAGTTGTTGATAAAAATTGGCTTAAGTATTCAAAATTTTATGGGTTTCTCATATCATTCATTGTACTTGTGCCAGTTCTAATCATTTCACTCTCTAGGTTGTGATGTGGGGAAGGTCTGTCTACGTAAACATTCAAAAATTTATCCAGTTTCAAATCATCGTCAATGATGTTGCTCTAGGAATCAATTTTGTGATTGCCAATCGTGGATGAGCACGCTCCGTTCATAGTGATTCATGTCAACATTCCAAACTTTTATTGAATGAGCAACTCTAAGGTCTTCGTTTGATATGTATCAATGTCTTTCAAACCCTAAGCTTCTAAGATCTAGAGATTTAATAGTAACCTCAACAAATTATTCACATTACACAACACGAAGCAGTTTATTGAGATGAACGACACAAAAGTTCTTCTAAGAATGATTGTATAACTGTACATATGTAATTAATAGTCTAATACTTATGAAACTTTAAGTTTAGCGTGATTTTCTCTTCACTATTTTGTCTGTTACAAAAATATGGATTTCAAAAAAATATACTTTTGATTACATGATTAGTTTGAATAAATTATGTTAAGTTCATTGATTATATTAACTCTATAATTGATTTGGTGTCAAATGGAAATTGTAAAGTTTTGAAAGTCTCAAATGGCATGTTGCCACCTCAATCTAAAGATTAAAAAACTTCTAGAATGTTTAGGTAGATCAATGACATGTATTAAAAATGAAGATGTCTTTTCTTTGTAAAAGTAAGTTATACAATTATTACAATGGTAATTTTCAAATATTGCAAGTAGAGAGATAAAGAATAAACTCTCAAGCAAGTTTTGATAAATCAAGTGTGGAGATTTGTTTCATCAATATAAGATTATGTTACATTATTATTTTGAGAGTTCATTGTGTAAGTACTTGTTTCATCAACTTATGTTGATTATGTTGATTACATTACACTATGTTTTTGAAAGTTCATAGTGTGATTGATTGAAATGATAAGTCAATAGTTTGTGAGACAATGTGTTTGAGACGCGATTACATTAAAGAATGCTTATCTTCTAAAATCATGATGAATTCCGATGAGTTATGACCAAGTTCATTTATTATCATTTCGGTGACAAATATTGTGTTTATAGTAAAGTTTATTTGTATAAGCAAATGGTACTATGACTTTGATAATTTTGTTGTATTACAGCCTGAGCATGTGGAAATTGAAAAAAAATTTAGTGAATATTTTGAAGCATATTGCATGGTATCGAGCAATGATAGCTGGCTCCAAGTTCCACCACTAGAGCGTGAGCCCGAGAAAATTAAAACAAATATCAATGAAAATTTTGAAGTAGTGTACACGGATTCGTTTTGGAAAGATCAACCAAGTTTTGACTACAAAGCGTATTTAGAGGAAATCACATTCAAATACAACAAATAGTGTTGTGATCTTAGTCGCTATAATTAGCTTGCTTACATAGTTTTGATTTTGCGCGTTGAGGTAGATTTTTTGAATCTTACCGGTGGACGTTAGCTTAGATGTATCAGTTCAAAAATGAATTAAATTTGAGACTTCCAAGAAATTTGGGTTAACTTTTGTCTCATAAGAAAATTTCTTTATACACAGCATATGCTAATTTTTCAGGTCAACCCGCAATTTCCGCATTTTATTCTGTACTCATACCATAGTCATATTAATGGTTATTCTCACGCACCAAAATTAATGAGCATGAAAATTTAAGGCCATCGTTCGTGAACTAATTAACCGCATCTGAAAAATTTATTTCACAGTGAATCTCTAGGAAGGCTCGTATATTGGTTGATGTACGCGGAGTTCATTCTCACTGAGTTTCGCAATGCATCCAGGACTTACTGAATATAAGCAAGCAGATAAGGGAAATAATATCAAGGGATTACCTATCTCGACAACTGTGAGAGAACTTTATCATTCTTGAATCTCTAACACTTCCATTATACTTTTACATGCTTTTCAAGGTATTCAAATAAATCTGAATAAAACTCAGAAGTAGTGCATACTTCAAGGTAAACAAGCTGGAAGTAACGTCTTAAAGCTTACTTACCTCCTCTTCTCTCATAAGACTGCATACGAGATTATCTTCTAGTTAAATTCTTCAAAAACCATCGGACTCACTCACTCATGGGGCTTGTGCGGATCATGGGACCTGCGCATTGCCATTTGGTCTTTTTGACGATGTTCATATTGATGGCAAGTTTTATCCAAGCAACTAATTTAAACACGCTCTAGTATTCTTATATAGCAGATTTGAGTCAAGGGTCTTTTTTTTTAATGTTTATCCAAAATCCGTGGGGATACCAAAAACAATGGCGTAATAACAGTGTTATGATTTGACTTCGTGGCGACGCAAGAACTTGGCAAATTCAAGTGAGCATTGAGACCAAAAATTTGTAAAGTTTTCCGGTCGTAAGCCGATGTAGCTTCCTCCTTAGTGTTGAACGTCTCCAACCACACTCTTCGTCTTTTCCCTGGATCTCGAATCTCAGCTACCCACTTGCCTCAAGTCCGCTGACGCACTCCTTTGTACTCGCATAAAGAGTTTTTGGGGCCTCCCTTGCCCCTCGAAGAAGCTTTGCTCCTCTTTTTGGGAAGACCTGTTTCACCTTTGTATAACCTTTGAGTCATTTTGCATGTATCAACGATAGAGAAGAAGGTCTACACGTATCAACAACCGAGAACAAGGTCCAAGAAGAAGGTCCCATCCGTGCACAAGACTGATTTCAACGCTTCACGCATACTTGTGTCGGATCTCTGTTAATGAGAGCGATACTTATAGAGTTCCAACATCTACTTTCTACCGCAACCAATCTGAGAATCTTACATGCAATCAGTGTCTCCACATTTAGAGCAACTTAGTCGAGAATTTTCACATCGTGATTTGCTCTGCGGTCATCTGTTATCATACAAGCGTGAAGGCTCCTCAACTGCACTGTCTTTTCAGCTTACTGCATAACAACGAGCTTTGCGTGCTAGGAGAGGAAGATTTTTGGATTTGAGGTAAACCGGAGTGAAAGTCAACCAAGAATTCACAAAACAAATCATTTTCAAATTCATTACAACTGTAGATTTAAATAATTCGATAACATTCACGCAAATATTAACGGTCGCAAGCATCATATTTTTCTTCTCATAATGTGTTGTGAGATTTATCTTTGTTGCAAATAAATCTTTTGTTTCACTTTTTGATCTTTAAGTATTGAAATCTTAATGATTACTCATAGTTTTGATCATAATGATTTTTTTGAAACAATTTTATTTTTTTGCATCTATAACACATTGTTGATTGCTTCCGCACAATGCTAAACTTTTTCATAGAATTTAGACTATCATGATTTTTGCGTTATGAAGTTAGAATATCGACGTCATTCAGCAATGTCTTTTTTAATTTCTTCTTGATGAGTTGTGCATTTAGTGAACAAAAGCTAGATTTCTTCATATCACTAACACAATTTGAAGTAAAATCTCTAAAAAAATGTCTAGATTATTCACACTTATTTTCCGATGCAAATATGTAACCATTTAATTTGGAAATGTACATTCTTCTTGCACTCCGTGAGTACAACATTAGTGACATGTGTCATGCTAACACATTGCATCAAGTTAGAGTTTAAAGTTCATGCGATATCGATAAACATGAGTTTAGTAGCCATTGAAAACCATGCTCATAAATATACAACTGGAAACAATAACCATTCGTAAACAATATGTCAAATTCATGGCCATCCAAAATACATAAGGTTGGTTATGGGCACCCAATAGATTGAGTATTTGTTACAATATTTGTGTTTACATATTGCTTCGTCATAACAGATAAGCCAAATCAAAGTGTTAATACTTTTCCGATCAATAGAATGGTATTCTAAGATATTATTAGGGTAATGCTGTTACAAGTATGGATACAATAAATGCAATGAAATATGTTAGAAAATTTTAAAATATTAAAGTTATACCAATATATTATGTAGTAAACAAGTCATAATTCTTCTATCAATCATATAGTCTCAACCTATTTACAACTTCAAGGTAAAAAAATTGTATAAATTGCGTTGAAAAAACTATCTTCCATGAAAAAGTATTTACTAGATATGTGAGAATCAATACTTTATGTTATCTATTGAACATTATTATTGCCATGTGAATCAATCTCAATGAAATATGCAATAATAAGTTAACAATTGTTTCCAAAGCTACTTAATTGAATAACATTAGTAAATCCATTCTCATTGCACATGGATGAATGTGATATATTGAGATGAGATGCATGTATGTTGAAATTTATTTGAGATAAGATTGATAATTACTAATGATGTTTTTAGAAATTGTAATGGTATCAATTTATAATTAAATGTAGGCTATGAAATTACTATCTCATATATCATAGTTGAGGAAATCACTCATGATATATGATCCAATAATAGCCATAAGTAGAGAGAGGTTTTCTCAAAAATTGAAATCATGGAAGTTGACTTTGAAACAGAATGTACTAAAAGAGAGAAAGTATGTATAAATTCGATAAATTTCGTCCAACGAATTTTACTGAATATTGTTCGTTGATTCAAGAGTTAGTTGTGACTAATAGACTATTCAGATGGCGGAGTTGATTTCTATCGTTCGTTCGAAGAGAATTTGACGTCGACAGTCGAAGATCGTAATCATGTCTGTTGAAAATCGTCGATCAAAAAAGTAAAAGTACTTCCCGGAAGTGCTCGGCTTCCCGCGACTGGCGAGGGCAGACAGACAAATTTATGAAGCATATTCTGTCTGTCCGGCCCGTCTGACAAGCGTCGTGCGAGGACGGCTCTCTGGTTGGTCGTTGCGTTCGATGGACGAAGCGCACTCGAGAGAGAAAGCATGAGCAATTTTACCAGCTGCAATTTTACCAGTCTGGGCAGCCGGGGACGGGGGGATGGGGGCGAAGAGCGAGTACGGGTGACGTTGGAGTAGAATCGACGGGCTGGTCCTCGCGCTGGCGGAGGGGTGCAGCACAGCCGTTGCGCGGGGGCTTGGGGGTGATGACGTCGAGGCGAGATTGGGCCAGTTATGCGCTGGGCGTACGTGCAGAGGACCGGGGAATCCAAATCGAGTCCCGGCAGTTTTCGTATCCGAGCATTTATAATACTAATCGGAAAGACTTCTTGGCACAGCGATGGACGGCTGCGCTTTGGACATCTCGCGAATCTGCCCATCTTTCCTGACGATGTATTGAATCTCCGAATAACTTGGCCATTTGCAGAAGGATTCGAATGCTCAGTCGGTCACTCGCCGGCTGTCGTAGCTACCTATCGAGGGATCCAACTGAATTTTATTCGGTTGGATCGGAGCGATAGAGCTGGCCCAGGGGGCGCAGAAAGTTGACGAGTCAGACGCTTCTGCACTTTCGAGGTTATAGCAATTACCCATATTTCAACGGAGCCAGATACACGTTTCCTCCTCCTCCCTCGAATTGAGCTCCTGAGTCCATGCCTAGCTTCCTCTCACATATGAAAGCTAGGAGCTACGTATGGCTGTACTTTATGAGTATAAATTTCGAACTTAAAATATGTGATGGCAAAGGCGGCACCTTGAAGTGGTCCTAACCTTGGACCGTCTCATTCATGCACGGCATGGACCAGAAGTGTTCGCCAAATTGCAAAAGCTTTTCAGTTACCAAGTCTCAGTCACTACTCCAGACATATTTTAATCTGATCGATGTCTATATGAGCCCTTCCTTTGAGCTGTCTCCGACACACATGGAAATTTCGGTGGGCACATTCTAAGTTGTGAATCTATCATCTTCGAAATCCAGGAAGGATCTTTCGTGACTTGCTCGAAAATAGGGTTTAATTCATGACGAAGGAAACACAGGATTCGGAAGAAGGAACAATGGAACCGCCGGTAGATCAGCTCGCCGGACTGGAGAAAGCATCGTTGCTGCAGGAGAGACGGCGAGACTTCACTGATCCCAGGAAAAAGGCACGCGGGTGTGTTCATTTTAGACTTATTTTCTCTTGCATTTTCAATCTTTATGTTTGATATATGTGGCCTGCCTGTCATGTACTTATGGACTAGATTGTGGATTGTGGATTGTGTATTGAACGTAACGTGAAGATATTATACTTCAGTGAGTATGTTGTAGCCCGATTATCATTTCAGCTTCGATCAGCTCGCGTTCTAGTAATACGCATCAATCGACGCGAAGGGGTCCGGGTCTTCCAGTTGCTCAGATTGTTATTCTCGGACTCTTTAAAGCTAGTAGTCCGTTTGTTCTTTTTCACCATTTCCGGTCTTCACTTTCAACATGTTCCAACTTGTAGTGAATTTTACTAGTAGGTTGTGTGTGTAAAAGGTGGATTGCTCAATTGCCTGCAGATATCAACTGGAGGTGCTGGACAGAGCCTTGGAAGAGAATACTATAATATTTTTAGAAACCGGATGCGGGAAAACCTTAATAGCTGTGCTACTTATAGATGCTCTGAGCCATCTTATACGCAAGCCCAGTCTCAAAATTGCTGTTTTCCTGGCTCCAAATAGAGCTTTAGTTGATCAGGTAATCATCATGGCTCTGTATGTCTTACTTACCGCAGTTCATAGTGTTTTGACGATCCAAGGGACGAACTGTATTAACGTATTTGAAGCAGCTAGAATAACAGAACAATATTCATGTCTATACCAGTCTAATTGACTTGATGTGGATCAACTTGCATGTTGAAGATACAGACAGGAGCCACGGTCCTCTGTGTAGGTAGTCCTTGTTCACTTAGAATACGTTCCTTCGTTTTTCAGTTGGAAAGTCATGCATTCCTCAGTGTGTCGGTGATCACTGTACTTATCGGTGACTTGAAGGATCTCCGAGACAGAAAATCGTTCAAGGGTTTTCATTTTATCACACCTTAGTCAGATAATGGGACAAGCAAAAAAATTATCGATTTTGACAGCTCCCGCTTGTTTCAGCAAGCAAGTAGGAAGAACTTTGTAGAGCTCGAAGCAGACCTGACAGTAGTTATTACTTGTTATTTTTTCAGTGACTAGACTAGACATCACAGTTAGTTTTGCCTGTGCTGCTGTACAGCACAATGGATTCTAATGTGACAGTTTACATTATCTTTTGTAGCAAGCCAAAGAAATTGAAGAGCACACGAATCTGCGGGTTGGCAAGTATTGGGGATCCATAGAAGGTGATACCTGGAATTACACGTGGTGGAGGAAACAGATTGTTAATTTTGAGGTAGAGACAATTTGTGTCTCTTGTGATTTGCTCTATTTTCTTTGACATCTAGATTATCTTCTGTCCTTTCTGAATGGGACGATGCATACGATAGAAAAGGAAGGCTACGTAGAATTTTTGCACTGCCTATGTCAAGTTTATTGAACTATAAATGTATGGCAGGTTATTGTCATGACTCCGCAGATTCTTTTTAACAACCTGCACCACTGTTTCTTCACAATGGCAATGATAGAGCTGCTTATATTTGACGAGTGCCATCATGCCCAAAAGAACCATCCCTATGCAAACATTATGCGGGTACTACTACTCTGACGGTCCTCTCTACGGGAACTTGAGACTTTTTCCACATGTTGAATTTTGTTGGGACTGAAGTACAGCCACATGTAGCATGTTCAAGAAGGTAGAGCTGTTTTTTTCGCTTGGCGAGCTGGTTATTTCACTGCTTGCAGAAGGAAGCTTCAGTATATGTTCTTAGGCTCCAACTAGTTGCAGGACCTATCCGTATGTTCAAGATGAAAGGGTACATTATGTTGTCATTATCTAATTCTTTTCTTCCATATGGACTTTAGACTTTGGCACATTTGTTAGACAAAGTTGATCTGACTTGTCCTTGGGTTCATGTTTCAGGACTTTTATCATAGTCAGAGAGCACATCGGCCCAAAATTTTCGGAATGACAGCTTCACCGATTATTGGAAAAGGTGGACTACCATTTTCCATTCTCATGTTTTGGTGGTTTGCGTCCAAACCACCAAAACCTTCTTCTACCTGACCAGCGTTGACTTGCTTTTGTATTTTCTCAGCTTTAGATGAATGTTGTTGGAGGTAGCCGGAGTGGGTTGATAGTTTTTGTGTTGACTATAGCCTCTGGATTTCATTGTAGTATTTGTCTAATTCGAGCTTGCTCATCCTTTCTTGGGTAACTTCATCGTGACTTTTAATACTTCTTTTTCAACTTTTTTTTCTCCTCCGTTTGATATTTGCATGAACGTAATCAACAAGTTAAACTAGGGTCGGACTAGACTCCATGGGACTTCTTTCCTTCATGTTTCATTGAACCAGGTTACAGTCCGCTTATTGCACGTTTTCATCCTGATCATCTTGCTAAGCTGCAGTTCACTGTGAAACTTTACTGCACTTGCACAGATTTGAAGTTCAGTCACAGTTCAGCCACTTATACTTAGTACTTACATTTGATTTTGCCAATTTATTATATCATCTTGTTATCGGACACGTCGTGGAACGGCTGCGATGACATCTTGACTTCTGGCTATGCTAATTCCAACAATATATCAGCTGACAACCGATATACAGAGAGCTCCTTACCAGACTGTAGGGTCTAGTTGTTCACTTCTGTGTCTCCTTAATAATGTACCGCGTATGACAATGTTTCCAAGGGTACCTGAATACCTCGTGTTTTTTCGATCTCAATATCTGACAGGCGGGTAGAATCACCAAGTGCTGATTGATAGAGTTCTTCATGATCTGCGACAATTTACTACAGCACAGTTAACAGTAGATTTTGCAGTCCATGCAATACTTCTATGTGAAGTTTTATATTTTCCGCTAAACGATTAGTGAGCTGACATGGATCAATATCTTTGTAATGCCCCGAGCAGTTGACAGAGGTGGAGCGCAGCCGATCGGCCTTCAAATGAACAAGTTGGAAAGTATGCTGGACTCTACGGTGAGATTTTATCGTGTAACTTAATTCGACTTGAGCGATGTACTATTTATTCATCATTTGGGGCGCATGCGTTCTTCTGAATAGGATAAGTAAGTGACAATGCTATGCTTGAAATCTTGCTTGATAGAAATGAGTCCACCCTGTACCTTTGATATAATACTAACACAAAGCATAATATAGTTCCAATTGGCCTTGCGCTTGGTTAACGGTATCGAAGCAGTGTTCGCACTGCTTCGATACCTCTTACTGCTATTTACCGGTATTGCTAGACATTTTTGCTTTGCCACTTGACGATCTTAGTATCTCCCTCATGCTTTTGAGTAGTTTTGCTTATGCTTTTGGTTTTTGTAGTTGCATGTAGGCTTTCGTTTATTTGTTTGAAGTTCATTTTATATATCTAGAAACCAATATCTAACGACATATATGTGATTTTCTATTAATGTTTCATAGATTTCTCTACAGTTTATCCTCTTCACTGTAGTCTGTTTTTGTTTGCTCGCTCAGGCATTGACAGTTATGCCTCGTTACCCCATAGATCCCTCACACACGTTACAGCGTGATTTTCAGCTTAATCTTACTTGTATCTCAAACACCTCCAGTTCTTCCACCACATTGGCCTTCCTTTGAAGCAGCAAAAATAAGATGTTATTTCCTAACAACTCTGATCGAAGTCATACAAATTAGTGACGACTATGAGAAAAAATTCTCAATCAAATTTCAATATTACAACTGACTGTCCGGAGTAGTTCATGTTATCTACAACACTATCCCATTTCTGTTATATTATATCTAGGTGGAACTCATTCGTTCGTCTCATAATCGCACCATATGCAATGTATTTTGATCCCATATTTTACGATTGATGGTCCCTGCTTCCGTTTCTCACATTGATTGAAGAAACGAAACCGCGCTTTGTTCTGCAAGTGCACGTGCAATCGTTTGTGATTCTTAACCATGTTTTGTTTTTTGTCGTTTATACGTGTTGTGGCTGGATATCAATGAATGATTGTTTTTTGAATCCGTCGATTTCTTCATCAGGGTCCTATGCCATGTAACCTACGCTTTGTGTTCAGGCATGGCCTTCATCGGTTGACAGTTACAATGCATCGGGTTATGTCCTAGATAGAGCCGCTATGCTTCAGTATTCTTGCTTGTTAAGCCCTTGCGGTCAATCACGTCTTATTGTGATCTTCTCCGAATCCCCTTATAAGAACCCTCTTGTTGTTACTCCCCGTTCCGTACTTCGGTCCCCTTGCGAGTCAAGAAGTCTTTGTAGTCTATATGTGCTATTTCAATTTCGATTGAATCGTTCAATGAGGTGAATAGGAAATATAATACTTTAGGTCCTTCCTTATCTCCTCACCCACGTGGTCCAGCTAGACAGGAACTAAGCTAGAAAATATAATCCAGATAATTTTAGTTTCGGCACCACTTTATTATACGCAACTAGAAATCTGGGTGTACATCTCAAACACTATACTGACCGGCGTTCCAAATACAGGTATACACTCTGAAAGATCGTGTTGAGTTGGAAGGATTACTACCAAATCCTGTCGAGCAGATTCGACAATATGAGCCCCTATACAAAAGTGACTATGTGGAAAGCTTTGCTAAAGTGCTGCGAGAACTCAAAGACAAGGTAAAGTTTTATGCAAAGTGTTAATAGGCTGCAGCAGTTTTGTGCAACATGGGAGTTGCGTTGCATGGTAGCACATGAGTCTCTCGTTACCTTTTCGGTTACTATCCCGGTGTATGGAATTTCTTCAGTTTCTTCGTTAATATCTGTTGTACTACTTAGAGACAAATTGGAATCTTTCTGCTACTCCTTTTTATATGTCAACTATCCAAGTTATTGGACTTTCGCCATCAACAATGATTCCCATATTCAGATAACATTTTTTGTTTTTTAGGAACTAAGCATGCCAGTTAAAAAATCATCATAGTTCCTACTGCTCGTATTGATAGTTGCACTTGGTTGTGCTAGTTTTCTCAAAGACTTGAATGACAACTTAGTCTATCATAATTTTCAAATGATAGGCTATTGCTGGTTTCAAATCATTGTCCATTGCCAAATTATTTGAAATATTCTACCCTTCTATTCCTTTTATTTATTCGCAGCTTTGTACTGATTTGTTTATACTTATGTTTTCGGTTCAGCCGCCATGCTTTTTCTCGGGTCTTCGGTTTTTTTTCTTCAAGACTTTTTCAGTCTGATTTATCTCGTTAGCATCCTTGAGACTTGCCACCTAGATCCCTGCGGCTGATCATGCACTATCTACTGTAGCTGATTTCCATTCATACTTTTATTGTTAGTTTCAGTTTGTATACTTATTTATTGCAAGGGTTATATATCCTAGGGAATCCTGCCATTTTAATCAGACTTTTCCAGCTAACACCTGCAGCTTTCTGGACTCGAATAATTCCCAATCTGCTCCAAAATTCCTGAACCAGGTCTCCCACAGACGAGGAAAGCCACAATACAGTCCACGTCATCTTATTATTTCATTACAACTGCTCTCTAAGATTTCAGTGATTTAAAGTTTGAAATCATTAACTCGCAAGGAAAACCATTTCCTTGCGAGTTAAAGATTTCAAACCATATCTGCTGGACAATTTGTACGCGAACTTTTCTCATGTTCTCTACAAGAACTCTTACGCGTACTAACTGTGCTCAGCTGGTAACCTATGTTTCTTCACCTCTGGACTTCAATTTATACAACTTCTCACCCGATCCACCAATACGAGGTTTCGGCTACTGCATTGTTGAGTGTCTTTCAAGTTCGGCAATTTGTGGATGACCCTGTGTCCTGGATTTCCTACTTCATATACCTTTCAAGGAACGTTATGGTGGGTGGAATACCCGTTTCGTAGTTATGATCTCAGTCTGTTTTCATCTTGTTTAATTTGTAATATCCTCGATCTTTCGATCACACAAACACAGAATTGAATCAAAGTTTCGAAGTTCGACAAGAGGTGTCAATCAGAATACAGCCAGATTTGTAAATTTCGCATGGCACAGTAAAACTAGGGCATGGTTTAGTTGATAGCTTTCTACATAGAACAATCATTTGTACTACTATGCTAGCTTTTCAGCAAGAAGCATTAAATTTATAAATTACTCTACGTGAAGAGTATATTGACGAAACCTTCTTACTGGGAGAATACTTTCATTATGCAGACAGTGTTTTTTTTCTAATAGTCTGCCATTCAGCCTCACGTATAGAAGCATTCACACTCCTGCTCAGAGGTGTTCATGAGATAACTACCGCCGTAAATAGGGAGATTGACATAGCCTGCTTGTGTTTTCATTTGTACGTTTTCACTTCCTATCTTTGAAATGTGACGATTAATCTGTATCTGGTTTGTTCCCCAGCTGTCCCGTAGCTTGCCGCTTCCTGAACTAATTTCGGTCATTCGTCTCTCTGCATCTTATTTGCAATTTGAAACTAAAGCCATACATGGAGCCGGCTACCTCTGTAAACTCCTCGTGCAAGTCAAGTGGAGATATAGGGTCTCCATTAACTAGACCAAACCCCCACGCGACGACTGAAACCCTAGGCTTACACTCTTGCCCACGTACAAGAGATACCTCAAGGGGCTGATGAGGTCTTTCTTATCGCTGAAATGTATCGTTACACGCTCCATTTCACTGAACATAATCTCGAATCCTATTAGACGTTGATAGGATCACTTCAAGCAATTCCTTTCCTATGCATCATCGGGGTAACTTTTCCACTTCACTCCTTCAATGCATTACCTCCACTCGACGTTCAATCACTGAATATATGTCCTTCTTCATATATCGTAATACATCTGAATTCTTTAGTGTCGTACTCTTCCATTCGGTGTGGTTTATTAGATTTAACAAGGGCAAAACTTGTAGCTTTGCCTTGTCTGTTGTTCCATGCTTGACACGGAATAATATCTGCAATTTAGGAACATTTACGAAATATCGTTATATATATAACATTGATGTTGTGAGAGTCATCTCGTTTTGTTCGTTAAAAAGAAACAACCTTGCTGCCTTTATTGATTGTTGGTAAATGATTAGTTCTTAAAACCAGAAGAAAAACGGGTCAACCCGAAGGATGCCCTTGTGTACAAGAAGCAGATGGAGGAAGTGGGAGGAGCATACAGAAGCTTGGAGTACTGCATATATGAATTTGGACCCTGGTGCACTAAAAAAGTATGGCATCCAAACCTTCTAGTTCTTCAGCGGATTGTTTTACGCTTGCAAACACATGGTTTTTCATTAACGATATTGACTACGTACATTAATTGCACGGATGAAAACAAGAGTGTTGTTGCTGCCGCCACTTTCTTTTATAGTAACGGGTTTTAAACCATGCGAGTCATGGTTCTCGAAGTGGCTGATGAGTTGTATCCATTAAACGTCTGGAGATAAACATCACGTATTGTAGTTGTAGACGAGAGACCCATGTTGGACGACGTTCTATATCTGTCTTCTTTTTAAATTTAAGTCGATAATGACAGGAAAATGTTATGACTTAAGGGTCAAAGAATCATCGGTATCAAGGAAATTGTTTTGTGGTACGCAGGCAGCTGAGTTATTGATCGAAAAGGATGCTCATTACATTGAACCTGGAGTTGCCAATCCGAAGCAAGCATTTGTGCAGGAGGCGCTCTCCGCCATCAAGACGATCATTTCTAAAGGTTTGTTTCAGATCTGTTCGAAAGAAGTCCCTATAGTCTTGTTGTTTATTGGATGTGTCATGCAGTTTTTTTGCACTTGTTGTTGTAAGCATTTTACATTTCTGTCTCTTATATTTGCATTTGCTGCCGAGGATTGTGTTTTGTGCTTCTTCTTCCGCTACTCGCATGCAGGATACTGTTTTTGATAGATAGAATCTATGACTGTTTGCCATCAAAATCGTGCATGTTATTCGATGCTTCTGTTCTCTAATGCTTGTGTTTTAGTTATTGCTGCCTCCCGCTGTCTCCAGCTATTTTCCTGTAGAGAAAATTCACCATTCATATGTTCATGTTGGCCACTTGTTTCACCCTCCTTACTTCTTTCCTTCTAATGTTTCTTCCTGCTGTTGCTTTCTCTCCATAGTCTATACTGCAGCCTTACATGATATATCTCTTACAGTGTTTACTTCAGGTTCAGCTCGGTTAGTTACTTTAGCATCAGGTTGGGCTCGAATTCATGATTGCACTCGCTTAGGCAGAAGTAGGACACAAGAGTTGCACCTATTGTGTTGCATATATGCTATATAACACTAACATGGTAGACGTCAATTTTTTGGATCAGTACTGGACGCATGTATGTTGGTCAAACTTCAAACGCAGTTCCCCAATGCTTCCAGTAGCACATACCGCATTCTAGGCAGACCCACCAAAGGCCTCCTCGTTTATGTATTTTCTTCTTCTGGCTGCCATGGCTGGACATGCTAATCAAATCTTCAGGGTCTTCCCTCGGGAGGGAACTACTGCTGCTACGGAGTTTATTTTGTAAACTTTTTGGATGGATATAGAGTAGAGTATATTCTCCGCATATAGAGTATGTTCTCCGCATTACAATGACTCAGATTTTTTGGAAATTGCTACTCCAGACCCTGACTTGCAGGCGCGAACTCAACCTTCTCAGCTCTTACAGGCCTCAATATAGAATTAACTTCTACTGATCTCTCTAGAATGCGGCACTTCTAACAATTTTTCATTATTTCTTGTATGGATAAAGTGCCGTGAGGGTGTTGTCTACATTTTCCACTCCTTCAAATGCAAGGGGGTGTCAGGAGTCTGCTTCAACTCATTGTGTACAGTATTTTATAACAAGTCAAATGAACCTGATGGACACACTGACCTCAGTATTTCTTTCTCCTTTCGTCTTGAACGTGTATTACTTATGAAGTTCGGTAATCTTATCACATCGTCTTTCAGATTGTTTTTTCTTATCTGTATCAGGTATATCCTGGATTGTTATCTACTTCTATTACAGTTTGTTCTCGACTACGTGTCCATCCTGTTTGCAAAATACTTTTGTTAGTAATGTGCAGGTAGAACTGCAACCTTACTGTATGGACACACCTTAAAATTTCTGTCATAGCTCCGCAGCTTGTATACATAACCTCTAGTGCATATATAGAAATATATAAATAAATAAATTCTATTCTCCAGCTTCATTTCTCCAAGCTGTTCTATGGCTCTTTGCCGACTGGAATATGACAGTGTTGCTTACTAGATCTACGACCATACTGCTGCTTGCCGCTTGCCGTCTCCCTTCACACGTGGTTTTTCCATAGATACTTCGTGCGCCACCAACTGGTCGGTCTGAGTTCGCTCTCCTTAGTATCTCTGCAATTATTTCTTTACTTCACTCAACGCGGGGTCAATGAAGACATGTGGTCTTGATTATCTGGATTGAAATCCTACTCCATAAACTCCGACTGAAATTGAGGTCTACACTCTGGCTCAGGATAAGAGGGCCTCATGAGGGCTGATAAGTTTTTTGATATAGCGGGAGCGACTGATGCCCGCTTCTTGATTACTGTGTCTTGATTCCTGTTCAGCATCGATCAGATCTATGCTGCCACTTCCCTTCCCTCCCCTGGATACTTCTGTAAGCACTCTTTCGATCAACTGCCAGCTTCTCCATCGCATAATCGAATTTTCTTCGTTCAAGATGTCGCACAATTCATGTTTCCTGGACAATTTGTGCTCTGTTGTATACTTTTGCTTGCACTTGATTTCACACATGACTTTGGTTGTATGATGATTTATTGGATTCTTTTGCTTACAGCTCTTATTAGTTTTTCGGTTTTCCTTCATTCTAGTCATGTTGTAACCTGTAGCTTTTATCACGATGTCTGTGTGCTACCACCCTTGTAATGTCAGCCACAGTCCCCAAGGCTCGAACTGAGTACTTGTACCAGCCTTTTGATGTCAGCCGCAGGCCCCAAGGTCCGAATTGATTTCTTGTACTTGATCTCGCTGTATATATTCTATAGCATGTTTAAAACTTGTACATGTAGTTTTTGTTTCTTTGCCACCTCGTGAACTGTATTTTGGTCACCTCCACCGCGTTATACTTATCGTGTTGCCTGCGTAGTTCAACCAACTTGCCGATCGAGTTCATCTGACTGCTTATCTATCTCCGCTTATCTTCGTTTCTCCTCTTCTTATTTGCGATCTGGGTGTCAACGTTCAATGTTGCAGAGGAGAGTGAAGACCCACTATCTCCATATTCAACAGGATTGTCAACCAGATTGTTGTCTTCGAAGCTGCTGTGTCTTATACGAATCCTTCTCGATTTCCGGTTGGCACATAATTCCTGACCAACTATTGTTTTCTAGTAGTGTTTGACAGTATAAACGTTCTACTTTAGATTGTACTGCAAAACACACGGTGAACAGGAAATGGGAGACACCTGCACAAGAGTTATCCAACGTATTTATATATGACTGACAAACTAGTTGAACCATGATAATATTTTATTTAGCCCCGTAAAAGGCAAGAAGGAGAACGTCCAATTCACTGAATATTTTTGGTTCAGTTCCGATCCTCGATTAGAGTACCTGTCGAACAGTGTCTTCCCGGCTTACCTTTAACAGTAAGATACGAGCCACTTGTACTGAGTAGCGATGTTATGAAAATGTATAATGGTATCATAGATTTTTAGTGTATGCTAATTCCTGCTTCAAATATGTTTTCGTGGAATCAGGGTCAATTTTCAAAAGGGCATAATATTTGTAGAGAGAGTGGTTGCTACAAAGGTTCTCTCAAGTCTCATCAGCCATCTTCCACGTTTGTCCTTCTTGCGGTGCCTTCCGTTAGTGGGATCGCAGTTTATGACGCAAAAATCTCAGCAGCACACAATTGAGAAGTTTCGATCAGGAGAGGTACATCTTCTTCTACTGAACCCAAACCTTGCCTCCTTTTACGTTTGTTTGCAATTTATTGCTGGCATTTGAGGTTGCTACAATGAATCTTTATGGCTCAAAGTTTCATGATATACTTAACGTGCAGACCTAAGGTCATGCTTTCTTACTGAAACACGGGATGGTGATTGCTGTCCTACATTTGATTATGAATCCTTGGTTTCATTTCGTAGTTGTAAAAATAGAAGTGAGATCTGCAACTCACAACTCGCTACTATGTAGCGCCACACCTTTTCACACTTAGTTACAGCCCCAAGGCCCGTACGCAGTACTTGTACTCAATGTAGCTATGCATATATGTTTGGATGGTGACCACCTTTCGTGCGGTTATGTCCATCGAGCATTTTACACTAGTTCACGGTTTACGATTTTGATTCCTCAACGACAATTGTGACTTACCTTAATGGGTGCTGGCAGGCACGGTTGCATGATTAACTTACGATATCATCGTTTTGCTTCTTAGATTAGTGCTTTCCGTACTTGGTTTATCTTTTAGTTCATTGGCTGATTCTAATTCAAACAGAGTGTTAACTTCCACGTATATTTTGTTGCTACTTTAAAATTCTGTCGCTGTCGTTGCATTTAGCATATACTATATGTCAAATGCCAATTCCATATCAGTAACTGTCATTTTCAATGCATACTCTGTTTTCCGAATTTGTGACTGTGCATGTTGCATGTTCACAGTTACTACACCCACTGGCCAACTCGGTAAGTGGGAAGGTGTTTGGAATCAGCTTGTGCAGAGTTTCACTATCAGCACTTTATTCTTCCTTCCCGTTCATTTTTCTTGTCTCTCGTTCCTTGCTTTTGTTCCAGCCTTGTAGAGAAAGTTATCTGTCTCTTCGATATTACCGTGAGTTTCAACGAGAAACCACTGCATCGAAATTCCACGCGAAGACATCTCGTGGTGACATGGCCTATCGCATACAGCTCTGCGCGAACGCATAACCTCCTCGCGAGGTGTACACTCACCTATAAGCGATGCCTTGGAAATAGCGGGAGCGGAGTTATTCAGGCTCACTTTCTTCGTTTATTACAGTATCTGGATTCTTTTTCATCATTGAGAGGATCTATATTAGCACATCCCTTTCCCATATGTCGGTTGAGGTAACTCTTAATTGCCGAATGTCCTTCGTCATGAAGGATTTCTGCTTGCTGTTCCTCGTCGACTTGGACTGTATTGGACTTTCTTGCTTCAAGCTTCATTCATGTACAGTCAAGTCCTTGGTTTCATCTTGACATATGTTCTAATCAATACATCAATGTACAATTAGTTGCAGCTCACAATGCGGCTTCAATGTACTGCCACACCTTTTAATTTCATTCACAGTCCTCAAATTTCCGTTCAGGGTACTTGTACTCAGTCTCGCTAATTTTTTTTTATCATGAATTGACATCGTGTCACTTTGACTACAATCTCGAAGCTTTCCTACACTGGATGCCATTTGAGTTTGAGAGTCCCTATGCACGTTTGAAGTTATTCTTCGTTGGTGCCAGCTAAATACTCTACAGGGTAAGGATTTACGTCATAATCAAATTTAAAACTCTCAACGTTCAACGACAACTAAAATATTACGATGTCGTAAATTGCCTCTGAGCACGATTCGTCAGAAAATGAGCTAGTCATTTCCTCTCTCATGTTCCCGATCTATTTTCTGGTTGATTGCTCCATTTACCGAGTTTGTGGGTGGATGATGGTTTACAATAGAGACACTGTTGTAGAAAGTCGACGTCACTATCTTCTTGACAAATCGGTCGATTGGCTTGTGCACACCATTTACACCTTCCAAATGTTATCGCTTTGTTTCCAGGTAAATCTGTTGGTTGCGACAAATATTGCAGAAGAAGGTCTTGACATCCAAAGCTGTTTTTTGGTTATTCGTTTTGATGCTCCAAATACAAATAGAAGCTTCATTCAATCCCGAGGCCGTGCTCGAAAGCAGGGCTCCAACTATGTTGTTCTTGTGGAAAGGTAAGAATTTCCTAGAATTTCTTTCAACCCTACATCTACTTTCCGTTTCGGATCCGTAGATATCGTGGGCACATAAGATGTGATGCATATGAAATTGCATGCTGCTAGAGGATTCAAGCTAATTACCAGGTAGAGTGTAACTTGTGATAGAGCAAAATTGTATGGTAGGCTGGATTCATCTTTTGGGGCTATGAGTTGCGTTGAGATCTCCTTCTTGCGTATTTTATGGAATCAAGCATGTTACTTAAAGAGGCCACGGGTTAAGGCTAATTTGACAATATATGCTTGAGTCCAGTTAAGAACAGTGCTGTGCCCTTATTAAATACACGAACATGGGCATTTTGTAAGGATGGGTGTGTATGTAAGGAATATATATAAAAGGAGAATTTCTAACCTTGTTGTGGAGTGTGTACAGAGGAAATCAGGAGCATTTGGATAACGTGCGCGATCTGAAGGAGAACGAGAAATTGATGTGGGAGGCTGCAGAGTACCGAGAGATGCCAGTTAAAATGGAACCGGGAAATGTTGACGTTGAATTTTATAGGGTGGAAAGCACTGGTGCGATAGTTACTACCGAGTATAGTGTACCTTTACTGAATCGCTACTGTTCAAAGCTGCCTGGGGATCAGTGCGTATTCCTTTTCTAAACCTCGAGTGGAGAGCCATCCAGTATATATTTTCCTTATGACATGTGAAAGTTGCTTTCGTGATTGAATTGTTCGTCGTATAGGTCTGTACTGTATATTTTCGCATCACCTTCATTATGTCTTTCGAGATATCTTTATAACCGTTTTACTTATTTTTTGGACCACGAGTTCGCATATTCACACATATATGATTGCAGTAATGTTTTACTCGGTCCATGACTTTAAGTTAATAGTTCCAACTGTGTATTCCAATGACCTGCAGGTTTTATCGTCCTAAACCAGAATTCCCTGTCTACTTCCTTCCTGGAGGAGTAGTCTGTGAAGTCAGGCTTCCATCTACTGCACCCGTGCAACTTGTGAGAGGTCATGTTTGCTCCACTATAAAGATGGCGAGAAGAGTTGCTGCCTTGGAGTGCTGTAAGAAACTTCATGAGTTGGGGGCCCTGTCAGATTATCTTCTGCCTGCTTCTGATCTGAAACAAAGTGAATTGGACGAAAGTGACGATCCAACAAAACCAACTCTAAAAGCAGGTAATGTTGGTATTCGCGTACCCTCAAGGGTTTTTCATAGTTGACTAATTCGACGAAGACATGGTCTTGTATTTACTGAGCTGAAGTGTCGTTTCGTTGGAAGGAAGGAAGAATAATCTGATCCGACACTTAGGACTTTCGAGTCTCTTAGCTAGCGGGTATGTTTAACAACTCTAGTTTCTTTGGTTGGAGTGGACCTTACAGGTTTCATGATAGGTTCATTGTTCGATGCCTGCTTTTAAAAGTCTATGCATCTTTTCATACATATATCTTTCAGTTGTTAGGATATTGTTCTCTTAATTCTATGCTTCTCGATCATGTACTTTAGGCAATTTGCACTTCTTGTGACACAATTGCTCTCAGTCGTTTTTGCTCACTGAATCATTCACTAGTTAGCATCTGCAGCCGATTGTGCTTATAAATACAAATTGAGCGAACTATCAGAACTGGACGTGTTTCCTATCATATTGACCACGTCTCCATTAAAATGCTCTGTTATCCTATTATTTTACAAGGTTTGACTAGAAGGACAGACTGCACATATATTGCAGAGAAATCTTGTGTGAGTTAAGGTATGAGGGTAATACATAGGCAACCAAAACACTGACTAATCTATCAAAACAAATTAACGTTTCAGTGTAGCTCTGAGTAGCTGAGTCACTTAAAGATGTACGTAGAATGCCAATTTAGGTAGCTTAGCACTACCTAAATTACCAGCAGATTGTAAAGTCCGCCGAAATATATTTGCCTTCGCTTATATAATATAGCTGCCTTTTAACTTATATAAGATTCTTTGAGCCTTTTTTTTTTAAACAAATTGCATTTGTACTTCTTCTGTTGATACCGGTTACTTATGATATACTCCTTGGAGCCTTACTTTGGTTGATTCTGAATATCTGGCGTTTTGTACAAGACCAGACACGATGGAGCTGCACCCAACTTTGATACCGAAAGCCCTACGAGGTCAGTGGGGTGACCTATCAAGTAAGGTTCGCTTGTTTGCATATGACTTCCACATACTTGCTGAGCCTCAAGACAGGGAATATGCAGACTACGCTCTATTTCTTGAATTCGACCTTGATGAGGACACCAAGGCTACTGTAACTGAGCTGCACCTGACGAAAGGGCGAGTTGCTAAGGTTCAGCTTGTCCCAACAGGGCAAGTTGAGTTTGATGTCAAAGAGGTAAAGTTGTTCAAAGCAAAAGAACTGTCAATTTTTTTTTTCTCAACACTATATGTGCGATGTAAAATGCCGTTTTTATTTGGTTTTGGGTTTCTTGTTTGCTCATCTTATTTGCTCATCGAGAGAAATTCCTGAGGCTGACTATCAATCAAACTTAGTCGTTTAACGAAGAAGAGAGGGTGGGCTCCTTTTACATGGTTTCTAATGAAGAGGATCTCCGTGGTGAGTTTGTTTACTTTCTTCCCTACAAATTTTGTAGAGGAGGGAAAGGGCGAAGGTTTGGGTAACGCACATTTGCTGCAATTAATGTAAATTTTTTGTTGCATTGTTGTTTTCGACTTTTCTTCTTCATTTGCAGTTAAAAGTTGCTCAACTTTACCAAGAGCGTATCTTCAGCATAATGTTGGACCGAAATACGGAACACAAGTTGCCTCTGCCAACTCCAGCATATTGGGACCCTCGGAGACTTTATCTTTTGCTTCCAGTGGTGCCTGGTGCCTCGACTTCCTCATCTGTGGACTGGACGTCGATGTATGATGTTCTATCGGACACCTGTTTCAACGTTTCTGCATCAGGTCCAGATCTTGACACCCAGAAGCATATTGAGGTAAAACCGGACGGATGGGACTGTAGGTCTCCATCAAAATCATGCGGTTTTTTTCAGATGTCCGATGGACGAGTACCTGTTGAGGCAGTTGTGAATTCTTTGGTTGAGACAGTCTACAATGGGAACCTGTACTGTGTGGTGGATGTGTTGTGGGACATGAATGGTACGAGTCAATTTGAGTGCAATCCCTCTCAAGCTGGCTCGTACATCGACTACATCGACTACTTCAAGAAGCGGTATGCAAATATTTGACGTAATAACTTGCAGTTTTAGTTACTTTGGCTGGATCAACATTTTTGACTTTCAGCTAGCTTCAGTTGCAACTCATACCCTCTTGTTGTACTTATTAAGCATAACTCTCATATTCAGGTACAAGCTGGATCTAGTTCATCAGAAGCAACCGCTGCTTAAGGCTAAACCTCTCATGCGTATACACAATTTAATAGTAAAGCGGCCAGATAAGGAACCAGGTGGGCTAAATTTCTCATTGCATATGCACCCAAATTATGGCTTTAGTTCTTTTACATTGTTATGAGTTCCATATAGAGTACATGAAGATTCCACGCCATCGGAGATGTGCCTAGCTACATATGGTACACTTGGCATATTGGTTCTCGCTTCCTCTCACCTCTTCATTCACGTCGGCACCTCAATCATGAACTTGCATCTCTTCTTCTGAAGATGTACAGTCGGTCCATGCCATTGCTACGCGAGTCACTCGGTTCAATGTTGTAAGGTGTAAGGTCAGAATAGAATGGCATCACCCCAAAAAGTTCTACATCACAAACGATAAAATTCTCCATTCTGGCCAACATGTGAATTTATTAATCTGAATTTGCTACACTATATTCTAGAACTTTTACCAATTAATGAAGGTTTTAGAGTATGTTAGATCTATGTGAGCACCATAGATCCATCATACTATAAAACTAATGGAGAAAAGAAATCAGTCCCACCCCAAAAATGCATGGTTGAAGCTATATAAGCTTCTGAAGAAGAATGAGAAATACTTAGACTTTGGTAAATTGACTAGACTGTCGTATTTGAAGTTGGAGCAAGTACTTTGCCCACTTTCTTGCCAATTACTGGGGATTTCTAAATCCATTGTCTCTAGGCTTTTGGTTGCCATGCACTTCTATACAAGGACGAATTGAACGTGGGTATGTTGGTAGAAAGTACTGTGAGCTGGTAGGCTTCTGCCATCGTCTTCAGTCAATTTTGTTCATTTAACTTTTTTTCTGTTAAATTATGGCCAAATTCGGAACTGCTTCTTCCCCTCGATTTGATGAACAAATGATTCCGGAATCCATCGCTTTGGGTTGGAGGTGAGTACCTGCTCTTGCATGACTTGGATTCAAGTACTTAGTTGCTCCTCGTCCATCCAGTCAGTACGAATCATATTGTCGGGCAGTGAAATGAAGAGACCTACTGGACACTTAGCCCAGAGTTTGCCACGGCTTCTCTTGATTAAATACAGACACTTGATAGGATGGCGTACTGGCTTGCTGAGCAACTTCGATGACAGGATGGGGGTTTATGAAGTAGTGATCTTTGTATTTAACTGTTTTGCCCGAGCTATTTTCAAACGGTTTCTGGTGTTCGTCTCTGTACAGATGAGAATGTCCATGTCCAGGGACGTGTATCATGATTATGCACTTTTCGTGTTCTTACGTGTTGGACTAGTCTCCTAGCACAGGTCAAGTGGGGGTTTTTTTGCATCGTGAATTTTAGTTCGTGTACGCGTTTGCGCTTTGTCCGCAACCTATTTCTGTTCGGTGTGATGTTCTGAACGCATGTCTTCGCTGCGGTCTCTTTCCTGCTCGTCTACATCGCTGCTGGTTCATATTGTTGAATTATTGGATACTAATTACTGGGCTCTTAGGACAAGTTTAAACTTGAGAAGAGTATGTTATTACTCTTCACTGTGTACCCAATTACACTATCTGTAAATACATATTGACCTGAACAGACTTGGAGGGTAATTGTCACATCTAAAATGCTTCCTTGTTCTTTCGAATACTGTTCACATAGACTTAAAATAGTATGTGTGAATTTAGTAAGTTCAGGTGCAATTTTAGAGCTCAAACTTAGCATTTGAAAATTCAGAATTTGTTTACGATATGCTTGCAGGGTCAGCTTCAAAAGCGGAAGTCCTTGTTGAGCTTCCGCCAGAACTTTGCAGCGTGAAAGTGTTTGGGTTCCCTGCTAAGACTGTGAACACTCTGTCCTTGGTTCCTTCCTTCATGCATAGACTTGAATACATGTTCATTTCAACGGAGCTACAGCAGAAACTGAAGGATGCGTTCAGGGAGGCATCAAAGGTTTCCCCCAAGATGGTCAGTGTTAGCTATCCCGATCAATTCTCAGCAATCCACTAGTTTACGTCAGCATGTTGTGAATGTCATTCTGGTGAAGATGGAGTGATGCCCGTCCTTTCGATGTTGTTGATGGTCCCTGCTTCCTTTTCTCGCTTCGGATTCGAGGAATCTTACCGCTTGATCAACCGTATTATTTTCTTACTAATATGTGCATTTCAACCCTTGGATGTGGCTGCCTGTTTCCATTTTTTGTACCATTCTTGTAAGTTTGTGTTGTGGATACTTTTTGAATGTTTAAATATAAAGTTCGTCGATTACTTCAACTATGCTATGTTTCTGTCCTGTAAGTTATTTCTTGACAATTGCTTAGCCCTTGTAACTGATAAGTTAATACTCGAGAATTTTATCGGCTCAAAAAATAAAGGTTGTGTCCTTTAACGTTGGGTGATAAACTTTTAGCACTAATTTTCCATCTAAACACTTTCTGTAACTAGAACATCCATCATACACCACCGACGTGGTGAATTTCATGTACCCCTTTGAGTCGATACGATTCTGCGTTCGACCAATCAACTCGCTTCCAGCAACACATCAGGTTGGCTAGACTGTCGTATCCAGGTGCAGATTCTTCATTCTCTACAACTCCCCTTACAGCAGCCTTAGCTAACTCCCAGTTCGCATCTGAGCATACCTTCATCACCATCATACCTCGGGCTACTTTTGGTTTAACAGTTTTCTTCAAGTTACTCAAGGCTCCACCAAAATCGTCTTGAATACTCCTAGCTTATGACAATGCTTTTAACACTAGTATGGTTAGGGCTGGCTCATAAGGAGCTTCTCTCACGGTACATGACATATGGGCTTCGCTCTTTACCAAAAGGACTGCACACACTCTCCTCCCAAATTTGCAATAAGTATACTAGATAACTCTACTGGGGTTTGTGTTATCCATGAGTTCAACAGTAATAGCCCAAATTCAGATTCTTGCCCCCGCGATTTCCTAACTAGACTTCTCAGCGCGTTTCCCATCGATAAGACAGGTTAACTACACACGGCGGCGAGCTTTTTCACAAGCCCGTCTTCTAGCCTAGTTCAGCCTATTGTTTTTTTTCCGTTCTCTTCGCCACGATGTCGTCCATATATAGGTTTACAATTTGAACCTGCTCTCTTTCGAGATCACACTAGGAGCTCTTGTGTTCAGGCTCGCAGCATCTGTTGATTTCTATGGTTACACTCCTGAATTAACAAGTAACGTAGTCTTGGTCTGTCTATTTAGCTTTTTCGCATTATTCAGATATTTGATTTGCACGGGTTCATATATTATATCCTCCTACCGTATGCATGACTGCGTGCATCCTAGTATGTATGTGTATATGAGTTATAATAGACTAATATGAATACCCTGCATTCGTCTTCAGTATGGTGTTAACTTCGAAATACCGGCTTTCATTCATGTTTGAATCCACTTCACTTTCATAGTGCTTTATTCACGATTCTTTCAATTCGAATGGCAATAGTGCTTTTCCTCCTTGCTAATCTGCCCTTCCTCATAGTATGTTTGTGCTAGACAGAATTTGAGAGGTCTGGTCAACAACTTTCGTTTCACCTTGGCGTGTTGGACTTCGAGTTAAAGTCAGACCCAACAACAACCGAGTCTACGTGACGGGAATTGCACGCTACCGGTTCAAGTTGTGTTGATGGTCACTGAAGGGCTTTCTTGAGGACTAGTTCGTCCATAATGCACACTTCATTCTCCCATCACTGTCAATACTACAGTTCGTCTCCCGCTGTATTCCACCGTTTGTGTTGTTCGTAGGCTTTTTGTATCGATGCATTTATTCGTCTCTCATTATCTCATTGTGTTTTAGTTCTACTCTCATAGTCTTCTTGATACTTTCCATCCAGTAAAATATTTCGGAGCTTTCGAGACGGAACACCTAGACTTGTGATGCATCCGAAGTCGTGGAGGCTGAACATATGCTACCTTGCATGCAATTGGGTTGTATGTTCTCGTGTGTGATTGTTAGTGCTGAAGCCCGTTTACCTTCTTCAAAATATAGACCTGGTCTATCCATGCACTTCACATGAAACAATGAGTGATAGGTGTGCCGTTCCAGATATGCTGGGAGAAGTGCTTGGAGAACTTGGTGGCGTTTTTTACTTCTTCCTTATTATAAATTGTTTACTCAGGGCATCTCCCTCCAGAGTGTTCTTACTCTTAGATTTTTTCGTTTCTTACTATTAATCCTAGATAAAAATAGTAACTGCTCAGGCACTGAGTATCAAGCACAAGCCTTCTGCTGTTTTCTCTTAAATTGTATGTGCCTTTTCGTAACATACATATGATGTAGTTCTTCATTGCAACCTAATGAAAGGACGGCTTCGACGTGTAGGTTCTTCAAGCAATTACTACTGCAACGTGCCTCGAAACTTTCAGTTTGGAAAGGTTGGAGCTTTTCGGAGATTCATTTCTCAAGTTCGCTGTTAGCAAACAGCTCTTTCTGGTCTATGAGCAATTACAAGAAGGTCAGCTTACGAGTTTGCGTCAGCAAGTTATCTGTAATTCCTTTTTACACAAGCTGGGCGTCAAAAACGGATTGCCGGTAAGTTAGTACTTCTTTTACCAACGTTTTTAGAAATTGAACTTATGTTGTTATAGCCTGTGGACTTCTATCTTGCGCCAATATAGTCCAAAGTAGCTCATGATAACGTGAACGAGTACCTTGCGTAGTATACTATCCAAGCCATGGTGATGTTCTTTTCTCACTTCTCACGATACCTACATCCCGACCAATGTCCTCTTTTCTGACACTAAAATACTTCTTATGCAGAATCGCAATGTGTACCAAGTTTCGTCTAACAGAAAAACTTTATCACATTTCTTAACAATCAAAAGTCCCGTACACATATTGGCACATGCTGTAGATTAAGTTGCAGGTAGCACAGAGAAGTATGTCGTGCTCAGCGAGTTCTAAACACAGTGAATTTCTTCTAAACATAGTGATTTTCACTCTTCATCCCCATCTACAGACTCACGTCTCTCATCTTTTCAGCTGTACTTCTAGGCTCCAGCTCAACTTAATGAACTCGGTTCTCTTAATACCCTTAAGCTTCTTTTTTGGGAAGCTTCTCTCTCCTGATCTTCCTGCCATATGAGGAGCACAGACTATCGCAAGTCTTTTTCTACAGTGTCAAAGTCGTGATTCATTATCTTGCAAGAAGTACAGAACTTTCCTGAACTGAGCTAGCACCAGCTGAGGAACTAGGTGTTGAAGACATTCTAAAAATCGGACTGTTACATGTATCGTGCACAGAATCAGATGGAGTATTTTCGCTCACATCTCACCTGTACGAGAGTAGTCCAGAACAGCGTTCCCAGATAGAGACCGTAGTTGCTGGTATCTTCCAGCTGATTACACTTAGGCACACTTCTATTCCTGACACTGTTGCTTCCTCGAAGAAAAATTAGAGACTCCAACTTAGTGTTCACCAACTTAGAAGTCTAAATCACAGATGAAAGAGCTCTGATACCATATTTCAGACACAGGTCAGAACTAACACCCTCATATCTCTCAGATCACGATAGCGTAATTAGAAGTCGATCTGGATGTAACCATGGTTTTTTTTTTTCCCGAATTTAAGCTAGTCCGAGGTGGCGGCTTAGGATATATGTGAACTCCGCACGCTATTCAGAGCATTAACGATTCGTATCATTAAAAAGAATTTGGCCAACTTGGAAGTAGGTTCAAGCAGGGATCTCTACTCGTACAGAATCTGCGTGAAGTTTATCCTGTGTCTTTAAGTCGGTGCTAGAAAAGTTCCTCACATTTTCTGATGTTTCTATGTTGACATCACAGCATTATATACATGATGAACTCTTCCAACCACGTGATTGGGCAGCACCTGGTCGGCAATGCCGTATAATATGTAACGCAGAAAATTGTGCTGCCATACATGCCTTACATGATGCTACCGAGACGTCGAAAGTCAATCAGATTAAGTGCAGTGAAGGACACCGCTGGGTTCAAAAGAAAACTGTTGCTGACGTTGTGGAGGCATTTATTGGTGCACACTTAGTAGATGGCGGCCCTGGCGCTGCTCTTGCTTTCATGCACTGGCTGGGGATCGAAGTTGACTTCGATCCCGATCTGGTATCACAAGCTAGTGCTCGATGTGCTGGAGATGTTCGCGTCATTCAGGCGGTCGACTTGAGCAAGTTGGAAGGTGTCCTGGGATATACTTTCCAAAATAAAGCTGTTATGGTAGAGGCCCTCACTCATTCCTCGTACGACAGACCGTTGGACAAATGTTATCAGGTACAAACGTCGTTCAAATCGTTCATTACGACCACAACATTCTTGTGTGATTTTCTTTGTGGGTTAGTGTTAAGTATCGTTTTCAAGTATGAAGAGAAAGTGAATCCTTCTAAGTTGCTGCTGGTGGTCATTGGATGCATCTACCGTTTATTTAATTCGCACTTACGATGTTTTCACCCTTGCTTGTTCGTTACTGGTACACTCTGTTGACACCAGATGTTTTTCTGTTCCCGTTTTTCGATGCTTATGCGTGCTCCTGTCATTGTTTTCTGGTGCTCATAAATGTGATGGTATCAGTTTGCTCGCTCTCACCAGAAATGGTAGCAATCTTCGTTCAGCTTCAGAGTAAAACCTAGTACCCCACAAGCGCTATTGCGTGTTTTGCATATCTAATGCACAGCTCAAGCTTTCGTTCATGTTTCTCTCAGAGGTTGGAATTTCTCGGAGACGCTGTTCTGGACTACTTAATTACATCTCACCTGTACGAGACTTTCCCTGATCTTCCTCCTGGGCTTCTCACTGACCTGAGATCAGCTACAGCAAGCAATGAATGTTTTGCCCGTGTCGCTGTTCGAAATAATTTACAACATTATCTTCTTCACAATTCATCCTACCTTGAAGAGCACGTGAGAAAGTTTGTTACGTTTATCGACAATGTTTCTCAAGGAAGAGAGCCGTTTTATGGATGGGAGTGTGATAAGGGTCCTAAGGCAAGTGAATCGAGACTATCTCTTATATTACTTATTCTCTTCTTTATATAGATATAGTAAGACATGTCACACATCAGTCTAGACATAAGATAACACGTATAGCATAATCAGCACTTTTTACTCTGTAGCCAGATGTGTCGGATATTAGCTTGTGACTTTCATTTCAGGTTAGATCAGATATTGCTCATGCTTAGAGTTTTTGGGTCAATTTCCTTACTAGATTATCTACAGATACCAACTTAAGTTGCATCCTTCTGGCAGGTGCTTGGAGATCTAGTAGAGTCTCTGGCTGGTGCAGTTCTGGTTGATACAGGATTCAATCTAAAAAAAGTATGGGAGGTGTTTGAACCTCTACTTCAACCTATCGTGACTCCAGGCACTCTACACTTGCACCCTGTCCGTGAACTGGTGGAACTGTGTAACAGGGAGAAGTTTGAACTGCTTTGCGAGACTTCAACACGAGGGAAGCTCAGTTTAGTGAAGTTCACGGTGATGACTGGAAAAAATTTCATAGAACGAGAGGCTGCCAAGAGCGACAAGAAGAGTGCGAAATGTCTCGCAGCGTATGAGACACTTGAGAAGCTCAAGGTAATGTTTAGAAGTGAGCCACTCTTAGGATGTGAAGTGTGACGTTCAGTATCATGGTTTGATTGGTAGACGTACCGCATTTGGTTTTAACTCTTTCTATTAGGAAATACTGACAACAATGACCGCAAGCTGTCTCTTACCGGTTGCAGTTACATGCAAAAATCTGGACATGGTTATTCTCTGCTTGATTTGCTTTCTCGAGGTGTCCTTTTTTGTCAGCCAACCTCTAGATTTCAACTTTTATACGCTCAATTCTCCGGTTTGATGTTCTTGTTTCTCCTCGCGTATTAAATGTATCGAAATCTTGTTCTGCTTTTGCAGATTCTTGGTTGGGAACATCCATATCGTACTTTGACGATGACTTTAGTTTCTCAAGGTCATATTGGGCCTCGTAAAGCAGCTCTAGAAGGGAGTCCTGTACCAGAATTTACCCGAAGCAGCAATCGGATGGATCACCCAAGTGGAGTTCAACCTACCGACTGTGAATATAGAAGCACAACGGAGCCCAATATTCGATCAAGCGCCGGCATTGCGGAGTTTTTGAAAATAGCTGAGAGAAACAGTCAGGTCTCCGAGAAGTTAGAGAAAGAAATATGTGGCAAAGTGTCATTCTTCGCTGATGCCATCAGGCCTGATCCTTCATACTCACCCGATACCGAAGATTTCAGTTACTGCTCAAATGCTATAGAGGTATTGGCCTACGGAGAAGAGGATGATACAGCTGGAAATTTTGAAGGCGAACTTTCGTTATGGACATCGTCTGCCAGTCTTGGGCAGGTAGACTCTTTCGAAATGTCTAGCCGGCAAACATCGGGAATAACCGATCTCCAATTATCTCATAGCAGCAAGCTTGGCAGCAGACAAGGCAACGCTTTGCCGGAAAGCATCACGAATGGTTTTGGGGACGACCAAGGTTTTTATTTTGAGGAAATAACTTCTACGGAGTCCAAAGACAACAGTATTGTTTGTACATCAGATCAAGAAGATCAATTTATCGCCGAGGTTTATAAATGCACAGATGGGGACATTGTAGTGCCGATGTCTAGAACTCAAAAATCTAGATCTCTACAAGATTTTGATGTGTGGCAGTGTCCAATCAGTACGGATAAAAAGCGGCAACCTTCCGTGGATATCTCAGGCTCGACACCCCCGCTTTCCTCTGAGTTAATAATGAGAAAATTGACTGAGGAGAATTCTTCACATAATGCTGCAACAAGTCATGCTAAGGACTACATGTCCGTAGATGCACAAGATATGAGTGATACCCATACATTCAGCCTCGCTGGAAAGACACGATTTGAAGATTTTATATCTCGACTTGAACGAACTAGTCACCATCGTGCACAGTTTCCGGAATCATCACTTCCGAAAGCATCTGAAGGACCTGTTTTTGGAGGTCCTTCTTTCTCAAAGAACAACCACTCTCTGCCAGATCTCAACAATCCATCGTCCAGATCCTGCGGCTCAATCCCATCAGGTATTTAAGTCGCCAACAATCATCAGTTTCATCATTGAGTAGGTGAGTCTTAAGTGTAGTGTACCAAATCGTATGAATTTTCATGATCCATGGATTTTCTATTTGCCACACCGCTCCAGTTACATACAGCACTGTTTAAAACACTGTACAGAATGTGTACTTAACCCACGTCAATAAGTGGGGAGGTACTCGAGATATCTGTTCTTTCCATGTTAGTTGATTAATTTTTTATGTTATTATTTTATCATGTTATGATTATAGTTGAATTCTAATTAATTTTTGTGTAAAGAGTAGGTCTTATGTTAATAATCTGTCTAGATCTTATCGCGAGTAATAGTGTATGTTATAGAGGTTAGTGTTTTTTAACGGGAGTTAAGAACGAGATTAACTTTCGTTAAGAGCGAGATTGTTAAGATTTATTCTAATTAAGGAATAACCTCGGGTCTTAATTATTTATAGTTAGTACGGTCGTCTAGACTAAATATAAATATCTTAGAATTCACCTTGTACATGAAATCTTTATGACAAGATGTGAAATAAATTGCTGAGAGTTCTGGATGGAAATAACACTCTAGTTAAGGGTGAATCATGTTATTTCTGTATTCGTTTAATTCTTGAATTTCATAATCACAAATAATATTAGAACATTTGTGATATCATCTGGATTAAGTTCTCATTCTTTCTTTACTCAAAGAATTACAAATGATGAAAGCGCTTAGTAGAGATGTAGCTACCTGCAGTAGTACAATGGATGGAAAATTGATTTCATCTCCGTCATTTTGAATGTCAATTAGAAGGGAAGTGAAGCAAACACCTCAATTCGAGGCAATAAGAGTAAATTTCGACTCTGTTTCGATTAAAATTCTTCCTGCTCATCAGGTTTCTTCATGTACGGGGCTTATATTTTACGAGTGGCTGACTTTATTATCTATAGATACGGGCATACCACTCTCTGTTACTAATATGTTTCAGTTAAGCAGAACATTGACGTTAAACAATGAGTGCGAACATGCACATCACACATACACTGCACGATATGGGATGACGATAGTTCAGATGTCTTTGGTTCAAATAACATAAGAATATGGGATTACATCTTCTTTTTCTTTGTTGAAAGCTTGTTCATCCATATTGAGATGGGTCTAACTAGATACGTATTTGATCTTGCTATTGTCTGCAGAACTTCCACCTCTAGCAAGAATTTACGACGAGTATGTTGGCCGACCAAGAGAAGAGCTTCATAATATCTGTGCGAAAAACAAATGGGAGATGCCAGTCTATGCGCCATGTGATGTGAAAGGACCACCTCATGCTCCAAGGTAACTAGAATACCACTTTCTGTCCCTCGAAACTCACGCATTTCTTGAATCTGACCAGATGCAAGAGCTCCCGATATTTCGATATCGATTGAAAACACCGACTAACTTGGGTCAGTCTTACCACTCATATCCATTAATAACCAGAAACCAGGGACAAGAGCAATGTTTTTCCTTAAAATCTCTGCACGCCCTTTAAGTAGGCAGCGAATGGTTCAAGTATGGAATCTGTGCACCGTGTTATGTGATTTCTGTAGCTTTTTTTCCAGTCTCCTTCTTCACTTCTCGGCTCCTCTGTTCAAATTCACTCGAATTCTGGAAGATGGATATTCTGTTCAAGAATGTTGAAGAATGTTTAATAGAAGGTCGATGGAAGTTTCTACCACCTTACCTTGTCGCTTCTACAATCCTGCCAATTCAACCGTAGGTTTGGAAGGAATTGCTCATCAGCGAAGGGTCTTTTTGTCGAGAAAATATAAATTGCCTTTTAATGACTTTTTCAGGTTTACGTACATCGTGCGCGTGAAATTTCACGATCGCTTGTCAGAATACGAAATTGAATGCGAGGGAGAAGCTATGGGAGATACCAAGCGAGCGATGGATTCAGCTGCATCACAAGCTATTGCATATCTCCAACAAGAGGTCCTAGGAAGAATCTAGCCATAAGAAATTGTCAGTGTAAGTCTTCTACAAACCCAGTCAATAAGTCTTTCTCATTATCTACGTTTTCCGTGGCACGTTGCGTGTTGAAGTACTCTAACCTTCTAATGATCAATAAAAGTCGTACACTGCCTACAGCTAGTCGTGTGCTGAAAGTTGTGGACCACCCACATGAATAAATTCAGGACCAGGCTAACTGGCTCCTTGACAGAGTCGCTTTGACACCATCATGGCCATCATGGCCTTCAATGCGTTATGCATGTGTAAAGGATCTAACAGTAGCCTCTTATTTGCGCAGGAGAAGTGCTAGTCCTGTATGGATCGAAAGCAGAGTCATCCGCATTTTTCAACCGTAATCCATCTTGCACCACCGAACCTGACGCATTTATCCATGTGAAATATGTGGTGCCACTACTCCCGCGACCGCACAATGAAAACCGTGATAAACAATACCATCCGTTGATATTGCTGAGAATCAAATGTCGTAGTCTGTAAAGTATCAGAATTTCGTTTGTTTTTCTGAAGGCAGTTATTCCAATGAGCGTCTAGTGTTCATTGGGGTATGTGCAATGCCTTACTAGGATGAAATTATTTTGATAGAAGAGCTCGAGCCCCTCTATAAATGTATTTTGATAAAGAATTTGGAAGTTGAGGTTAAGATATATAATTTGCAGGTGATGTCTTTTACCACCGGAGATCTCTCCTGAACTTGTCATAGCTTCCTCACCTTCAATGTAACTGAGATTGATTCTCTGCGATGTCATGAGGGCAGAAGAATCAAATAAGCATTAGATTTGGAAACAAGTTACCACTCCAATCTATGTACAACCCCACAAATACATCGATAGAACGCGCCAATTATTGGATATGTAGTACGTCCACCATACTGCGTGTATATTTTCCAACAATTTTCCGGTTCTATCGATAGATGGGTCTTTATCTAATGCCAAGGTAAGTTTTGACTTGATTTTCCAAGAAATCAGTAGTATGTAAAATCTCCATTTTTATAACAAGTTTTCAAAAATCTATATCATTTTACTCAGCGCAACTCGATTTAAAACAGTATTTACTCTCCACAACTTATCTGCTGGTAAAGCTAACTTTTACCAGTAGCTGTGGAGTTCTAACAGTAGTTAGATATTTCTGATTACTTTGTGCTCGCGTAGGACGACAGTATCAGAATGAAGAAGATCAAGTTTCTTCTCCTGGTTCAAGTGCATTTTCAATGTTTTAGTGCCTGGATAGTCTGACATGTATACACATTTCTTTTCCAGGAGGATGTTGAAATGGTACTTTGGGAGCGTAATAGCATCTTTATTAAACATCACTTTTGTGAGATAAATTCAAGTTGTTTTAACATAGTCGAAATCATACGGACCTAACCAATACTGAAGTAGCCATGAAAGAAATCACGTACTAAGCCTCTTTTCTGGTCAATGCTACTGCTGGATGTTAACCCAAGTGATCATTTTAATTCAATGAAACAATTTGAATTTAATAGATTTACTTATGACCATATGATCCTAAACATACACATCCTCTCGCAAAGATGTTCAGATACATAAGGTTGCATTCTACGCATATAACTTGAAAATGTCCAATACATTCCTTAATAGTCTTCTAGCACATGTCCAATAAATTAACTCAGCCAGAGTAAACATTAGCAAGCTTGGATCTAAATGAAAAGTGAATCTTCCAGATCAAATACTGAGCACAGAAAAATATAACATAAGTAAATTCACAGCCTAAATGAAAGAGAAACAACTTAGACAATATAAAAACCATGAAAATGCAAACAACCCTTCAGGGCTAAAATATGGATAGATCAACAAATGTTTACGGACTGTATTAACATGCAATCGATACATCAACATGTTAAACTTTTACTGCATGATTCTTGATGAAAACCTACTCAATCTACACAAGTCTATCATCTACATCTGATTTTAATACAGAATACCTGAATGTGTAACAAGAAAAACATCTTCTTCCGTCCAACTTGAAATGAGTATAAAACTCTCATTCAACATTGTTAAAATATGATTGATTTCACAAACATAAAAAATTGTTGAAATACATATGTTAGATTTTTATGTATCCATTTGATTGAAAGTGAGATTTGACAAAATTTGAAACAAACATCATATTGTAAAATTAATGGATTTCACAAACATAAAAAAAGTAGACGCTTGCTTAAGTCGGCAATTTTAAGATAAAAATCTAGAGATCAAAATGTTGAGTAGAAATTTCAAGAGACATGTGAGAAGTCAAAATTTCAAACTTGATTTCCAGGCAATTTTAAGATAAAAATCTAGATATCAAAATGTTGAGTAGAAATTTCAAGAGACATGTGAGAAGTCAAAATTTCAAACTTGATTTTGAGACAAATGTCAGAAGTCAAACTTTGAAACGAATTTTCAGGACAAATGTCAGGGTTCAAAATTTCAAACGAAATTTCACATATCAGATTCCATGGCTCAAAATTTCAAACGAAATTTCACGGATCAAATTTCAGAATCTGCACTCTCGGTAACTTCATGCGACGCACATAAGGACCAACTACCGTAAGTGCCTCGTGACGCGTAGAGTGGATTTGTTGTTTTGGTCATGGGTGTGTGGCCTTTGAAGTCTCATCGATAAGTGATACTTGAGAACGTAATAAATTTCACAGATTAGGTTCCATGTTTCAAAAGTTTAGACGAAATTTCACTGATAGAACTCCATGGTTCAAAATTACATAGGAAATTTCACATGTCAAAACTTGAAAGCTTTATTATCAAAAATCAAACATGCTCAATTTACGGTTGTTTTGAGCTTGTTTGTGCACTATGACAGACTTATCATGTTGTAAAATACGACGCAGTGTAAAGAGATCTTCCTTAGCATGATTAATCTTTTCCAATGTTAAATAAGATAAAAGTAACATCTTAGCTCGCTCCTTTCCACCTCAAGCTTGATAACATTTACCATAGTGTGAAAAATCACATCACGTTGATACATGTCTGCAAACTCCGGGTTGATTCTCACTTAAGTTTACCTTACATGGCTTTGTGGTAGTTCATCATGGCTCTAGAAGACTAGGATTCTTATTCATACTCGTGTCCTAAACACACTTTCACACAAACTCTCCATATATCACTCAATTCACATAAACTCAAACACACGTCGATACTCCGAGATACTGAAAAACCTCACTACTTCATTCCTGAAACAAGTCCTTGCACATGACTATCCAAACTTGCTTGAAAGTTGCTATTCTACCTCTCTCTATTTAAACTACTTGAGAGTTTATCATAGTAACATGTAATTCTTTCTCCTAACTCACTTTTACCTAGGTAAGTTTAACTAACATACTATACGTAGTAACATGCCATTACTCTACCTAAAACTTTTAGAAGTTTTCCGAATCCGAGGTTGAGTTGATGACATGCCATTGAAAGCTTTAAATCTTCTAGAAGTTTCTTAGCCACTAAGTCAACTTTAGATTTCGTCTAGCCAATGATCTTTCATACATTTAGTCAAACCAATCAAATCCAAGCTTAGAGTCAAATATCTAATTCCTTGTAATTTAAAACTTTGTAAAAGACAAAATAGAATTGTTCACTCTACTCTTTTAGAACTCCGCTAATTATTCCTCCAACTATAGACATTATAGCTAAAATTAGTCATAAGTAGATAAACTTAGTTATAACTAACTAGTTTAGTCATAACTAGCTAGACTTAGCTATGTATTGGCTAATGATCATTAATCACTTGACCACTTCTTTGACTTTGTACACATGTGCAACACCCAGTCTTACATCTTAGGGTAGTTTTGGATATTAGTTTCATCCTCCTCACATTTGACAATAAGGTTCACAATACTACCATTCATAGCATTATCAATTTTCTCAAGCAAGTTTTTCCGATACATCTGCGAATCTTTGTTGTCATGTCTCAAACATTTCTCAATTTTGCTTTTACCATCAGTTTCATTCGATACATCTAGAAAGTTACAGTTGCTTAACAATTCAACAATCTCAGCGATAGTGCTATCATACTCGCATCCAGTATTATCGATGCTGCCAAATCTAGAAATAATATTTGCTTTTTTAAAACAATTTTTGAGACTTCTAGTACAAATGTCGTTCCAAGCCGCATTTGCAAAATATGCAACATCAAGCAAATGTGGAAGTCTTACGTAAACGATCCTAGCAGCTACTTGTTTGAGTTTCAAAGCAGATAATGCAATTTTGTCTTTAAGTTCTTTAGGATTATCATAAGATGCGATGATATAATTTAACACAAGATACTTGTATCATTTTTTTACCGCTGCGATGATACCCATATCCATAGGCTGCTTCCAAGACGTGACATTAGATGGAAAAAATGCAACACGAATGTCATTGCGTTCAAAAATTGTAGTATGACGAGTAGCGTTGTCAAGTAATAATAAAACTTTGTGTCATGTACTTCATCAAACATAGGGCTCAAATACCTCATCAAACCACTTAATAAATGTCAAGACGTCAATCCAAGCATTTTTCTGATGTAAATAAGAAATGAGCCAAGTATTTATCACAATGCAAGCGGGTTGCTTCGCCTTTCCGATCATTGTGATCGGGATTAGTTTTATCCCACTGCCGTTGCAACCCACCACTAATATTACCCTGTTTTTCACTCGTTTTTTGCCTTGGATAGTGGTAAGGTCTTCATGAGGCATAAGCATTGTATATCGTGGAATCAGTTGGAAGAACAATCTAGTTTTGTTCATATTGTAAACGCATACTGGATCGTACTGGTCGATCAGGAAAGAAAAATCTTCCAAAGCTTTCAAAGTCTTTGGATTATTTTTTTTCAACCTCGCCACCTTCTCCATACAAATTTACGCTATTCAAACCGTGTCGATGTCAAAATCTTGCAAACCAGCCCCATGATGCCGTGAATTTTTCATCGGCAATCCTCACTGTGGTCATTATCTATTTCGTTTTTTGGCAAATAATATTAGGAAACAAAATAAACAAAGCTCGGCTTCATGCATCAATCCATTCAATAAGCTTCTTCTCGACATCTGGAAACATATTCTGAGAAGCACGGAACGTTGACTCCTAAGTGGCTTGGTCTACCCTATGTGCTCGTTCACAAATTTTGTACTTGCTAAATTTTATCGTTCGAATAACTTTTTCATCGACACCAAACTGTCAAGCAATGCTCCGCATGTAAGACATCATTGACGCCTCCAGTAAATTTTCATACGCTAACGATCATTGAGACGCTTGACTTCGCCCTTACGCTTAGAAGATCTCTGCATGTTCATCGTATGAAATCAACCAAAATTTTCTTGACGCTGAAATTTGATTCAACGGTAAGCGTACGGTTTTCAATCAAATTTTTTTACGTTGGAATTTTACTGAATGTTAAATGTAAGATAATTCAGTAAATTTTCATCACGTTGGAATTGATTGAACCTTAAACTAACAGCAATTTAGTAAATTTTCTTCAGGTTGAAATTGACCAAACCTTAAACTAACAGAGATTTAATCAATGTTTAGGGATTTGATGGAATCAACTGAACCTTAAATCGTCCGGTAATCTAATCGATGTTTAGGGATTTGATATTAAGGATACTTGTAAGTCCGCACTACACGTTAAGTCGGCATCATCCTCTTGAGATCAAAGTCCGAACTTAACCTAATGTCTACTGTAGCTCAAAGTTATGTTAACGATTTCATGTATTCATCAATTAATTATAAAAATTTAAATTTTTGTTAATAAATTATTATTAAAAAATTAAAAAACTTTTCATATGACATGATTTGACATGTGGACAATAAAAATCAATGATAATTTTATCTTTGAGTATCACAAAATCTTACATATTTATGTAAAAAATAAACTAATCTAAATTTTTAATATTTAAAATTACAGAAGAATTAAAGAAATTTGAATAGTGACATGCTCAATTCATGCA